GTCCCACCCCATAGATCTCCATCCTATAGGTTCCACCCTATAGATCCCCACCCCATAGATCTCCACCCTATAGGTCCCGCCCCATAGATCCCTGCCCCATAGATCACCCTATAGGTCCTGCCCCATAGATCTCCACCCCATAGATCCCCACCCCGTGGCGCTGAACACGTGGGCACCAAAAGCTGCGGGTTGGCAGCAGACTTAATGAGAGATTTAACGAGTGCAGCGCTGTAATTAGAGACCGAACAGAAGGACCCCAGCGTGGTAATTAACCAAGAGTGAAACGAACCAAAGGAAGCCAAATTAATTGGGAGAGGAACGACTGCGGGGACTGGGGACACGTCGGGGACACACTGAGGATATGTTGGGGACACAGTGGGGACAGGTTGATGATAATTGGGGACATATTGAGGACACAGTGGGGACACAATGGGGACATGATGATAATTGGGGACATGCTGAGGAAACAATGGGGACGCAGTGGGGACACATTGGGGACACATCTGTAACACATGTGGGACATGTTGGGGACCAAACAGGGACACACTGAGGACAGGTTGGGGACACGTTGAGGACACAATGGGGACACATTGGGGACAGGTTGGGGACCCATCAGTAACACATGTGGGACAGGTTGGGGACACAGCAGGGACACATTGGGGATATGTTCAGGATGTGCTGGGGACACGTTGGGGACACATCGAGGACACGCTGGGGACACAACAGGGACACATTGGGGACTCATCAGGAACACGCTGGGGACACACTGATGATGCACTGGGGACACATTGGGGACATGTTGGGGACACAGTGGGGACACATGGGGGAACACATGCAGGACATGTTGGGGACACAATGGGGACACACTGATGATGCACTGGGGACACATTGGGGACATGTTGGGGACACAATGGGGATCCATCAGGGACACAGTGGGGATGTGTTGGGGACACACAGAGGACACATTGGGGACACATCAGGAACACATGGGGGACATGTTGGGGACACAATGGGGACACACTGATGATGCTCTGGGGACGTGTTGGGGACACATCGAGGACACACAGGGGACACATAGGGGGCACAATGGGAACGTGCTGGGGATCCATCAGGGACACAATGGGGACACATGGGGGACATGTAGGGGACACAGTGGGGACATGTTCGGGATCCATCAGGGACACATTGGGGACATGTTGGGGACACATCAAGGACACAATGGGGACAAATGGGGGATGTGTTGGGGACACAGTGGGGACACATTGATGATGCACTGGGGACGTGTTGGGGACACACCAGGGACACACTGAGGACAAACAGGGGACATGTAGGGGACACAACGGGGACATGTTGGGGACATGCTGGGGATCCATCAGGGACACATTGGGGACATGTTGGGGACACAATGGGGACACACTGATGATGCACTGGGGACACATCGAGGACACACTGGGGACACAACAGGGACACATGGGGGACATGTTGGGGACACACAGAGGACACAGTGAGGATATGCTGGGGACGCACCAGGGACACATTGCAGACACATTGGGGACATGTTGGGGACACACTGATGATGCACTGGGGACACGTTGGGGACACAATGGGGACATGCTGGGGATCCATCAGAGACACACTGGGGACGTGTTGGGGACACTCCAAGGACACCATGGGGACACATGGGGGACATGTTGGGGACACACAGAGGACCTGATGGGGGCACACTGGGAACACATTGGGGACACATAGGGGACATGTTGGGGACATGCTGGGGATCCATCAGGGACTCATCAGGGACATGTTGGGGACACACCAAGGACACAATGGGGACACACTGGGAACACATTGAGGACGTGTTGGGGACACAATGGGGACATGTTGGGGACATGCTGGGGATGTGTTGGGGACACACTAAGGATATGTTGGGGACACAATGGGGACACATTGATGATGCACTGGGGACATGTTGGGGACACATTGGGGACGTGTTGGGGACACACTGAGGCACACAGGGGACACGTAGGGGACACAATGGGGACATGTTGGGGATCCATTGGGGACACACTGGGGATGTGTTGGGGACACAGCAAGGACACATTGGGGACACGTTGGGGACACACAAGAGGACACACTGGGGACACACTAAGGATATGTTGGGGACACAATGGGGACACGTTGGGGACACATTGAGAATGCGATGGGGACACAATGGGGACACAATGGGGACACTGGGGCCATGTTCAGGACACGTTGGGGACATTGGGGACCCATCAGGGACACATTGCAGATTGTTGAGGACGTGTTGGGGACACTTGGGGACACGCCAGCCCAGTGCCATCCTGCTTTTGTTGCAGTGCCACCCCGCTGTTATTCTGGTGCCACCGCAGTGCCACCCCAATGTCATCATGCTGCCACCCCAATGTCCTCCCAGTGCCACCCTGCTGTATTTCTGGTGCCATCCTGGTGCCATCGCAGTGCCACTGTGGTGCCACCCCAGTGCCATCCTAATGTCATCATGGTGCCACCCCAGTGCCATCCTAATGTCATCATGGTGCCATCCCAATGCCATCCCTGTGTTACCCTGGCGCCATTTTGATCCCATTTTGGTGCCATTTTTGTGCCATCCCAGTTCCATCCCAAAGCCATTGTGGTGCCACCCCATTGCCATCCTAATGTCATTGTGGTGCCACCCCATTGCCATCCTAATGTCATCATGGTGCCACCCCAATGCCATCCTAATGTCATCATGGTGCCACCCCAATGCCATCCTTGTGTTATTCTGGCCCCACTTTGATGCCACCCCAGTTCCATCCCATTGCCATTCTGGTGCCATCCCAATGCCACCCCAATGCCATCCCAGTTTTGTCCCAGTGCCATTGTGGTGCCACCCCAATGCCATCCCAATACCACCCCAGTTCCATCCCAATGCCACCCCTGTGCCATCCCAATACCATCCCAATGCCATCCCAGTTCCATCCCAGTTCCATCCCAACACCATTCTGGTGCCATCCCAGTGCCACCCCTGTGTTATTCTGGTCCCATTTTGGTGCCATTCTGGTGCCATCCCAATGCCACCCCAGTTCCATCCCAACACCATTCTGGTTCCATCCCATCCATCTGTGTCATTCTGGTGCCATTGTGGTGCCATCCCAGTTCCATCCCATCGCCATTGTGGTGCCATCCCAATACCACCCCACATCCCATCGCCATTGTGGTGCCATCCCAATACCACCCCAGTTCCATCCCAGTGCCACCCCTGTGTCATTCTGGTCCCATTTTGGTGCCATTTTGGTGCCATTCCGGTTCCATCCCAACGCCGCTGTGCTTCCATCCCGGTTCCACGCCAGCTCCTGGCGGTGCCGCCCCATGTCCAGCTGCCATCCCACCATCACCGCGTCACCGCCGCGTCCACGCCGACGTTGTTGAGGAGGAAGAGCTCCGGGCGCGCGGCGAAGGCCCAGCAGCGCTGTGGGGCGAAGGGGAGACCATCAGCACCGCCCCGAAAAGTGCGACCAGAGCAACAGCGGCACCGTGCTGTGCCCCCTACCCCCAAATCCGGGTGTGTGAGTGTGAGTGTGAGTGTGTTGTCACACCCAACGTAGCACTGCTGCACCCAGTGCAGCGTTATCACACCCTACACGGTGTTATCACATTCAACACAGCGTTATCACACACAACGTGTTGTTGTCACACTCAACACGGTGTTATCACACTCAGTGTGGTGTTGTCACACCCAGTGTAGCTCTGTTACACCCGGTGCAGTGTTGTCACGCCCTACACGGTGTTATCACATTCAACACGGTGTTATCACACCCAACGTGTTGTTGTCACACCCAACACGGTGTTGTCACACCCAACGTAGCACTGTTACACCCAGTGCAGTGTTATCACACCCAATGCAGTATTGTTATCACATTCAACACGGTGTTGTCACACCCATCGTGTTGTTGTCACACCTGACACGGTGTTATCACGCCCAGTGTGGTGTTGTCACACTCAATGTAGCACTGTTACACCCGGTGCAGTGTTGTTGTCACACCCAACGTTGTCACACCCAACGTAACACTGTTACACCCAGTGCAGTGTTATCACACTCAACACGGTGTTATCACACCCAACGTGTTGTTATCACACCCAGTGTAGCTCTGTTACACCCAGTGCAATGTTGTTATCACACCCAACGTGTTGTTGTCACACTCAACATGGTGTTATCACACTCAGTGTGGTGTTGTCACACCCAGTGTAGCTCTGTTACACCAGTGCAGTGTTGTCACACCCAATGCAGTGTTGTTATCACACCCAACACAGTGTTATCACACTCAACACAGTGTTATCACACCCACCATGTCATTGTCACACCCACTGTAACACTATTACACCCAGTGCAGTGTCATTGTCACACCCAACATGATGTTATCACACCCGATGCAGCACTGTTACACCCAATGCATTGTTGTTATCACACCCAATGCTGTGTTGTCACACCCACTGTAGCACTATTACACCCAGTGCAGCGTCGTTGTCACACCCAACATGATGTTATCACACCCAGTGTAGCACTGTTACACCCGGCGCAGCACTGTCACACCCAACACAGCGCTGTCACACCCAACCTGGTGTTGTCACACCCCATGTAGCACTGTTACAATCAATGCAGTGTCGTTACACTCGGTGTGGCACTGTTACACCCAACACGGTGCTGTTACCCTCAGTGTAGTGTTCTTACACCCAACCTGGTGTTGTCACACCCAGCAGTGCTGTCACACCCAACATAGCATGATTACAGCTGATGTAACATTGTCACACCCAACACAGCGTTGTCACACCCCATGTAGCACTGTTACACCCAACACGGCGTTGTCACACTCAACGTAGCGTTGTCACACCCGACACGGTGTTGTCACAACTGAGGCAGTGTTGTTACACACAATGTAGGATTGTCACACCTGACACAGTGTTGTCACACCCAACACAGCACTGTCACACCCAACGCAGTGCTGTTACACTCAGTATAGTTTTGCCACACCCAACACGGTGTTGTTACACCCAGCACAGCATTGTTACACCCAACACAATGTTGTCACACCCAGTGTAGCACTGCTACACCCAATACAGTATTGTTGTTACACCCAAAGAAGTGTTGTTACACCCAGCACAGTGTTGTCACACCCAGCACAGTGTTGTTACACCCAGCACATTGTTGTCACACCCAACATAGCATTGTCACACCCAACGGGTTGTTGTCAACCCCAATGTAGCACTGTTACACCCAACATGGTGTTTTCACCCCCAACACAGCATTGTTACACTCAGTGTAGCATTGTCACACCCAACATAGCACTGTTACACCCAACACTGTGTTGTTACACTCAATGTAGCACTGTTACACTCAACATGGTGTCATCACACCCAACACAGTGTTATCACACCCAAAGAAGTGTTGTCACACCCAGCACAGTGTTGTCACACCCAACATAGCATTGTCACACTTAATATGTTATCAACCCCAATGTAGCACTGTTACACTCAATGTGTTTTCACCCCCAACACAGCATTGTTACACTCAGTGTAGCACTGTTACACCCAACATAGTGTCATCACACCCAACACAGTGTTGTCACACCCAAAGAAGTGTTGTTACACCCAGCACAGTGTTGTCACACCCAACATAGCATTGTCACACCCAATGGGTTGCTGTCAACCCCAATGTGGCACTGTTACACTCAATGTGTTTTCACACCCAACACAGCGTTGTAACACTCAATGTAGCACTGTTACACCCAACATGGTGTCATCACACCCAACATGGCGTTGTCACACCTGAGGCACCACTGTTACACCCCATGTAGGACTGTCAGACAACGGCACAGCGTTGTCACACCTGACACAGCGTTGTCACAGCCAATGTAGTGTTGTCACACCTGCGTTGTCACACCCAACGCAGTGTTGTTACACCCACCATGGCGTTGTCACACCCAGCAGTGCCATTACACTCAGTGTAGCATTGGAACACCCGACACAGCAGTGTTGTCACAGTGTTGTCACATTGCCACACCTGACACAGTGCCATCACACCCCATGCAGCGTTGTCACACTCCATGTCGCGTTGATACACCCCAGGTAGGATTGTCACACCCAACACAACACTGTTACACCCAAAGTCTTGTTGTCACACCCAACATGGTGTTTTCCCACCCAACACACCCGACGCAGCACTGTTACACCCAATGGAGGTTTGTCACGTCCAACGCAGTGTTGTTACACCCAATTTACACCCAATGCACCACTGTTACACCCAGCGCGGTGTTGCCACACCCAACGTAGCACCGTCACACCCAATGTAGTGTTGTCACCCCACAGACAGCATTGTCACCCCCGACACGGTGTTGTCACACCCAATACAGCGTCATCAAACCCAACACAGCACTGCTACACCCGACACAGTGTCACGGTGTCACACCTGGTGCAGCACTGTTACACCCAGTGGAGGTTTGTCACACCCAACACAGCGTCGTTACATTCAACGCAGCACTGTTACACCAAACATGGTGATATTACACCCAACGTTGCACTGTTACACCCAACGTAGTGTCCT